TCTTTATTCTTGTCTTTTCTTATTATGAAAGAAAAAAATGTGGGAATTCTAGGCAAGATGACTCTGTAACTTCACAGTTTGGTGCTCCTTCTTAGTGTCAAACGCATAACAACGATGGACAAAATAAAAAAAAAAGAATAGATAACTGAAGATATACAAGAAAATATCTTCCCGAACAAGAAAAAGACAAAAATGCGGAGCAGCAAAAGGTAATACTGCAGGCCTGGCATGGTATAGGTCTGGTGGAAGCTCACTTCTATAGGGCAAAGGAACTAAAACTACTGACTCAGGAATATGTATGAGATATCTCCCTCTCCCTCTCCCTCTCCCTCTCCCTCTTCCACATATACACACACTGTCATCTGGGATTCTGACTTTTAGCAAGCTGCCAGCACAGGAAGAAAACAGAACACAGACACAGTGTCGTGAGCAGAAATGCACCGAGCAATCCTTTTAGCTCTGTGAATGGACCTGTGCATACGTTTAATAACATCAAGGATGGACAGAACTACCAAACCCATTGCCCAAGATTCTAGTTTAAGTGCTGGTCGGTTTGGCCAGAGGAGCAGGTGCAGTTCTCATCATGCAGGCAGAGTTGAGTGCAGCAGAAGATCACAGGATTAGGGCCATGTGAGGGAGGAAGAACAGGGAAAAACAAAAATACTTCCCACTCAAAATGAGCCTGCACAGCAGAATATCAGAACACATGCAAGACTGAGAAAGGAAACAAGCAAATCAGCAAATGAAAAAATGAACCCTCCACTAAAATCATTTTTATGGAAAAAATCTGACAAATACTAAAATAAGTATTCTTAGGATGCTAGAAAACATAAATGAAAAAAATAGCATTTATCTTAAAGGAGAAATTACAAAAGCAAATTAATACCAAATATATGTAAAATATTCAGAATATTGGGGGTAAAAGAATATATTCATTGAAGTTTAAAACTCAATAGATAAAATAAATGGTCCTGGAGACTCTTGGTGGGGGAGGGGGAATGGTGTCTAGGAAGAATACAGGATAGAGAAATGAAGAGAGTATTTTTTTAAATGAAAGCAAGATTAAGAAATTTAGAGAACAACTTAACAAGATTCCTAAAAATAACTCATATGAATTCTAGAAAAAATATGAAAGAAGAAATTTCAGAGAATGTCAGAAAGCAGTATTTCAGGTAATTCAAGTGAGAACTTTCCAAAATTAAAGAAATACGTAATTCTTGAGATCAAAAGTGCACTCAGAGTATTAAAGAAGAATAAATAATGATTGATCCACACCTAGACTCATTATTACTGATAAAAATGATCTTAAAGCTATAAAAAGAAAAATTAAAAGAACAGCCATTAAATGGAACTGATAATGACTTCACATCAGCAACAAATTGCACAAAATAATGTACTATGCTTTAAGTTCTAAAAGAAAAAACATGTCAAATTTTATACACAGTTAAACTATTATGCAAGGGTGATGTGAAATGTGATATGACTATGTTTACTATCCACAAATTCTCATTACAAGAACTGTGAAATATATACTCAGGAAAAAGATTGATGGATAGATGTGCCTGGAAAGAAAGCATGAAATTCAGAGACACAGAAAAATGTTACTGAATTATTTAATCCTTGATTTGCTTTTTATTAAAACTAAATTTTTGTTTTAGGAGGTCAAATGGACACATGTTCAATGTCAAAATTTATAAAATGCAAATAAATAAAAGAGGAAAATTAAAAACCATTCTCATTCCACATGTAAAGAGAGCCACTGCTCATGTTAGTGAGAGTAGTTCTGGTATAATTGCTTTGCATACTTTTATAAAAATGCTATATTATCCAGATTGTATTTACCTCTTTCCATATTTATACAAATATATTTTCATTCCATTAATTAGTATTCTATAGTCTCTATTTAAAAGCTGGGTAGAATTCAATTATATAAAAGTACTTGATTCAATTCACCAACCCACCCTCCATTGGTGACTTTTATATATTTTTTTTTATTGATTTTTTTACAGAGAGGAAGGGAGAGGGATAGAGAGTTAGAAACATCGATGAGAGAGAAACATCGATCAGCTGCCTCCTGCACACCCCACACTGGGGATGTGCCTGCAACCAAGGTACACGCCCTTGACCAGAATCGAACCTGGGACCCTTCAGTCCGCAGGCCGACGCTCTATCCACTGAGCCAAACCAGTTAGGGCGATTGTTTACATTTTTGCAATGCTTCCCTTGGTTTTGGATACCTAAACTTCCAGTTTGAGCAGGATCTTCTAAAAATTTTAAATAAATTATCTCTTCCAAATCTGAATGGGTCCGCCAACCAGAATGTTAAGGACACTGAAAAATAGGTCTGTTTCATCACATTTTGATTTTTTAAATAATGCAACCCAAGTATTTCATTTTGAATTCCATTACAAGCAGTGTTAGCAGAAGTAGATGAACACTTCAACTTGACTGTGCAATTTATTTTAATAAAAATCTCTTTAGAGATCCCTGTCTAGTCAGCAAATAATTGCTTTAACTCTGGATTTTAATATTAGCACTGAATGATTTATGTACATTAAATAATGTGATTCTCACTAACCATTTATGAGCTAAGAATGATTATCTCCCTCTGTGGATAATCACACTTCAGGGAAGAAAGGTTAAGTGGTTTACCTAAGATCACTCAGCCAGTCAATGGATTATCTCAAAATATGATCCTTGAGTCTTTAAATCATTAGATTCAGCTGGCCTCAGCAATACTTGAGAGACATGAGGGATATGCACTTAGATTTTTCCTCGAATGATTTATGTAGCATAATGTCTAATTTGTTTATAGAGCATTTTTTGTTTCTTATGACATACTTTGGTCTATAAGCAAATATGAGACATAAAAATGAATGTGATAAGAATCTGGAAAAATCTTCTGGTGGAATTAGAGTGTCAATTTCTAAAATAGTACATAGACTAAGCAGACAATAGAAGCAACCATTTGATGGAAACGATGGGGGGAATGGCAGGCAGTAACAGAAAGCAAATAGAGGACTTCCTTTTGTAGAACTGCAGTTCAGGGTTAGAATTAATGGGCTCTAAATGGAACAAAGAGATCTTATTCCTGAACAAGGACGTGTGCATTACCTCAGAGCTATTCCATCTCCAGCATAAAGCATTACAGAGGTTTACCTGCCCATCTCAACTATAATGGCCGCTGTGCTTCATAGATCCTTACCCTATGCAGTGCACACAAATGGGACCCCCTAGAACAGTGATGGCGAACCTATGACACGCGAACTCATTTTTTTGGTTGATTTTTCTTTGTTAAATGGCATTTAAATATATAAAATAAATATCAAAAATATAAGTCTTTGTTTTACTATGGTTGCAAATATCAAAAAATGTCTATATGTGACACGGCACCAGAGTTAAGTTAGGGTTTTTCAAAATGCTGACACGCTGAGCTCAAAAGGTTCACCATCACTGTCCTAGAGGTTATTACTAGAATTTTCCACAGTGATCTTATCAACATTAGAAATGAGCTTCATAAACTAGAGGGGGGGCCAAAAACGTTGTGGGATGATGTATTGCCAGGACCAGATCCGATTTGTATTTCTAGATAAGAGAGAAGAGGGGATCTCAGGCAGTTGTCTCTTTGGAGTGGGGACGAGGAAAAGAACGTTCCACTTTGTTTTCCCATTCCACTTAGTCTCCACAATTAATTTTAAGAAAAATATTGGTAAATGATTGAACTAATGAGTGTTTCATAAAACTGACTTTTTATTTGAAAAGTAGAATTACCAACTGATCCTGTTTGCCTAGAACTTCCCTGGTTTTAGCACAAAAAGTCCCATGTTCTAGGAACCCTCTCAGTCCTGGATAAATTAGGACAGTGGGTTAAAACTCAAAATAGCCAGGCTGGTGTGGCTAAATGGTTGAACATCCATCTTTGACCCAGGAGGTCATGGTTTGATTCCCAGTCAGGACACATGCCTAGGTTGTGGGCTCAATCCCCGGTGTGGGGTGTGCAGGAGGCAGCCAATCAATGATTCTCTATCATCATTGATGTTTCTCTCTTTCTCTCCCTCTCCTTTCTCTCTCTGAAATCAATAAAAATATGTGGGGGTTTTTTAACTGGGTATGTTCACTGTCCAGAATTTAAAAAATAAAAATAAGCAATATTGAGCATTAAAATCATTCACATATTTAATATGCAGAGAGTATCACTGTTAGTATTAGTAAATGTATTTCCTACTATCTCTATGAAGTAGGCTTCATCACAGTGCAAGTTACTTTTATTATATATGTCGAGAGAAAGGGTAATATCAATTTAATGTCTTAAAATTCTATTTTAAAAATATGCTAAGTACTTTAATATGTGTACCTTTTCTGATTGCATCACTCTAGAATTCTGATAAATCTTCAATTATGTATTGACCATTTCTGCCATTCATTCTACAAATTCCCTTAACCTTATGCTTTTCTTTATCTCTGAAAAGCAGTACCAGACAGTACATTAGCAGCATGCTTTCTGATAACTGTATCACAGTGTAATCTCACTGCTCAGGGGTATGCAGCCTTTCATTTCTTATTCCATTTCTATTCCCCTATAGGCCAGGGAGGGGAAATTTCTACCTAGGGAGTTTAGCATCATTTAACATTGATGTTACTTGTCCAACAATCTCCTACATGAGTGAGACCATATGTCGACCACATTTAACACAAAATTTATCAATACTTACGTAGGCACATAAAGTCCTCTTTGTATTGTGGGAATCTGACTTTCTGAAAGCATTTCAAGTCCTGATTTAAAGACAGGAGGAGGGAAGGAGAATAAAATGCAGTGTTAGAAAAGAAATATATCTTTTATCTATCCTAAAAGGTTCACACGTGGTTGAGTCATATTTCAGGATTATTGTGATCCAGAAAGTACCTCTCTCATTGAGGAAGTACTTACCATCCATGTGTGAAGTTATCCTGTTCTCGCCAATAACACATACATCAATGGCCTCTTCTGTTTTCATTTCTAGCTTCACAGTGCCTGCTGGTAGCCCTGGGGTTGCTTGTATGATTGAAATGACTGCAGATGGAAAACCTACAATACAGAAGAAAGAAATGGAACTATCAGTGCCTCTCAGGTAGCATGCATATATTCAGTTTCAAATATTAATAAATGCACCCTTGATGTTTCAAATAAGTACTTATTTTTAAATGATTGTGTTAATCATATTTTTTATTCCTTGTAAAAGCTCTCAACAAAACACCAGAATATTCATCTTTGATACTTTAGGTATAATTAAATATATTTGATGTTGCCTGTCACTGTAAAAGTTTTATTAAATTTAGCATGAAATTGACTTTCTTCTCAAACTTGGCATATATTATGCTTGACCTAAGAAAAAACTCAGGAATCTGGAAAGATTAGCCAGATACGAAATAGTGCTTAAAAACTTACATTTTTGTAGGACATGGTAATGCTTGTACTGTGCTGTTAAAAAAAAAAAAAAGAAAAAAAAAAGTCCATTCTCAGTTGTTCAGATTTATATTGGCCAGGATATTTTTCTTAGAAATATTGAATGAAGCTAAATTGAAACAAGAGAAGATGTCTGTCCCTCCAGAGACCAGGCAATTTGCTGAATTCTTTTAATTTTAATGATGTGGTTGATTCCACGCTTCTTACTATGACTTTATAACAATACATTTAAGATAAAGAATCCCTGCTTCATTTGATCATCACGGAGAGTTAATCTGTATAATTAGAGCTCCACAGTGCTAATTTTGGCACACATTAATGCTTGCAGTGTGTGGTGCCCTAATGAATTGGAAATTTCATTTCATTTCCATTTTTTCTACATAGTCTCTATTGTGTATATGCAGGCATTTAAAAGAAGCACATAAGAACATCTAACATTTGCATAAGCACATTACATTTTCCAAATTATGGCCACAGATATTTTCACATCTCATTCTCACAAGGATCCTCCAAAGTAATAATAATGATCCCTTACATAAACCTGAAGAAACTGAGTATCAGGTGTCCAAAATTTCATAGTGAGAAGGACAGAGACTTGACCCCAGGTTTTCTGATTCTCAACCCTTTTTGGTTCCTTTATAATACACTCTACCGTTCTTCATTTGCTGCTGCACCTGATTCAAAACAATTGGACAGATTGTTAAGTAGGAATAAAATTGGTTTTCATGTTTTAAGAAGTCATGCTAGAGCCCAAGATGGCCAAATATTTAGATTCAAGACATGGAATATTCAAATTGTGGAAAATATATGAAACACTACTAGTTTTTTTTAATATCTAATGTAAAAAGTAGTCAGTGTGATTTTTATGTTTCTTAATTCCTTATAGTCATCCACTTTTATAATAAAAGCTTCATATTTTCTTATAAATAACATACAATATACTACTAACATAGTCTTCAGTGGATCACATCTTCAATAAATCAAATTCAACAAATTTTCGATAAATATCCTTCCGTTGTTGAATATAATAAACATGTCTTATGTCTGTAGTCTTTGTGACAAATCAGTCTCCTCACCCTTTAGGTTGACTGAATGAAATACTGATCAGAGTGCCCCAAGTCATAATATGCATACGCACAGAAACCAACGCATGGGAATAGAATTTATGATTAAATTGAAAAGAATTGGGATTGTTTCTGTTATGCCCAGATCTCAAGATCCCCAAAGACCACACCAGGTGCCAGCCAGTTCGATGCAATAGCAGAAGGTCCTTTATTGAGCTAGCTAACCCAACTCCCTCCTCCGGCCGACGCAGCGACCGGGAGCAGAGTGAGATGGCGTGGGAAACTCAGGGTTTTAATAGGGGGGTGGAGTGAGGGGAGTGGACTGACTGTGGGCCCTGCCGATTGGCCAGGCGCAAGTCAGGTCTTGTTACACAGGATGTGGTCATCTCTATGGCGCGCACGTCCCTTGATTGTCATTGGTTAGTTTAAAATCCCGGGCGTGGCCAGCAGAAGCCTGGGCTTCCGGGAAGAAAGGGTTCTGAGCACGTGGCTCCTACCCCAACATGGAGGATACCGGCAAGATGGAGGGCATAGCCCTCGCCCTTTCAGTTTCAAGATGGTAAAGCAACAATGCACTTAGGCTCTCTAAAGTGTTGGTCTTTTTTTACAGTATTCTGCCTCTTTGTGTTCATCCTAACTCACATGCTCTGAAATCTAAGTGAATCACTGCTGCCTTCTGGAGGGTTTCACCCCGAGCTCATTTTAGTCTTATGGAGGCTGTCTGTCCTGAAGTCTCACAGAATAGTCCCCCATCCTGGAGTTATGCTATGTAATGGACTCCTGGAGTTTGTTTTGAGTATACCTTTGTGTTACTCCCTCTTCCTCTTTTATTATAATAAGAGAATGGTGGAACTTTGTAGAATAAGGATATATAAGCACTGAGGATTTTGTGAGCTGAAATCACTTCATTTTACAAGTCATGAATTTTAACACAAACTATTAAAAACATGTTCTGACCCTGCCTCTGCTCATTTTAATATAGTGGAGATTTTAAATAGACTAGAGGCCTAGTACATGAAATTCGTGCACGGGTAGGGTCCCTAGGTCTGGCCGGTGATCAGGGCCAATTGGGGCCTTCCGGCTGCCGGCTGCCAGCTGCCAGCTGGGGCCTTCCTTCGTTCCTCACCACCCCCTGGTGGTCAGCACCGGTTGAACTCCCAGTCAAACTCCCGAGGGGACAATTTGCATATTAGCCTTTTATTATGTAGGATTTTAATGTATCTCAGTGTAAGCCTCATTGTGCTCATTCTTATTTTAGTTCTTTGGGCTTTTTGAATCTGAATGTCCATTTTATCCCCCAGATTTGGAAAGTTATCTCATCAAATAAGCCTTCTGCCCATTTCTCTCTCTTCTCCTTCTGGGAATCCAATAATGTATATATTAATCCATTTGATCATGTCCCATAAAGCCCTCCAACTCTCTTTACTCCTTTTTAATCTTTTTTTTTCCTTTTGCTCCTTTAACCAGATACTTTAAAATAACTTATCTTTAAGTTTGCTACTTCTTTCTTCTGCTTTATGAATTCTTCTGTTGAATTCCTCTTGTGAATTTTT